GATAGCATTAAACCCCAACAGATGTTGTGGAAACTGGCAGATAAGCTAACCCATATGCGAAACAATAGTTGTCAAGTTCTATGAGTATTAGCATTCCTATGACGATAGAGGCCATGAACATAGGAGTTTCCATAAGGACAATCTCTGGTTTTTATTCTGAACAAAAGACAATCTCTGTTTTCAGAGTTTTTGTGGTTTCTGCGGCGGAGGAAGGAGAGAACTAAAGGGATGATGATGATCGGGCAAACTGCGGTTGAGAGAAAGCTCATGAACCAGATTCCTTATCCGCCATTGTTGTAGTAGAGACAAGTTAACAAGGGACCTCCACATCAGTGCCGTCCCATAACCAGGACCGGTCCTAAAATTTTAGAGACCTATTGCCATTTTTATGTAAACAAAATTTTGGGGGGCCTAAAATTTTTTTAGGGAATCATGTAATTTTCTTCAAAATTTTTGGAGATGTATAGCGAATATTTTACGTATTATGCCACAGGACCGGTCCTGCCCATAACTTAGGGTGGCCTAAAGCACAAAAAAAAATTATGTGGCCTCTTATATAAATATCAACCAAAAAAGTGAATAAAAATCACGAAAATGCATAAAATAAAAACTATGTTGGGCATCAAGAGGATTGAACTATTGTCAGACCAAACAAGTTAATCATTTGACCTAACTAATATTCTATGTCATGTGGCCCTAAAAATTTTTATATATCTTGTGGCCTAAAGCAGATGCTTTATTTGCCTATAGCAAGGACGGGCCTGCTCCACATGTTCCAATAGCACAGAACATGCAGATTAAAACAAGCAGACCGTTCTTCATCTTCTTCCTAATTTTTCTTGTCTCAAAAATAACGGTCAAGGAGACATAATATGTGTCTTTATCTGTTTTTTTTTTTTTTTCTTTGAATCGTGTGAATTAAGCACTGTTTCGTAGCAGCGCGTTTGCGGCTACAAAACGCTATATATGCATGGTCTACCAAACAAAGAGCTCTACCAAACAAAGACTACAAGAAACGGCATGAATGAAAATAACAAAAATAATTTTGAAAAGAACAAAATAATTCGTTTTAGACTCTTTTTATTGTTTTTTTATACTTTGAGGTTTTCAAAAAACTATGCATAATTGATAACGTATGACTTTATTTACCCTCACATTATTATTTCTAGTCAACAAACTAGAGTGTTATGAGAGATGGTCAATTGATGATGAAGGAGAGAAAAAACATTGTATCAAATGTCTTAACTTGTGCGAAAATTATAGAACGTCATGTCAAAGAAAACATGGAGTAGGAATTAGAAAGACTATTTTTTCCTATTAGTTTTTGGGGAAGTAAAAAAAGGAACCAAAATGTTATATAGAGAACTAAAATAATTTAGATGTCTTTATAAAAAAAATGTAAATATTGTGAGGGTATTTTTCAGGGAATTTTCAGTTACTATATTACTGATAGTTTGTATCATAAATATTTGTGGTCTCTAAACTATATCTTGCGGTCTATGGTATCTATCTTATTAAATCAGAAACATTAGGTTAGACTTAACATTTATTTTGTAAGTTTTTGAATTAAATACATATTTCTACTTTATATTTAAACATACATTAAATCACTAATATTCATTTCTTTATACTAGTATATATACTTCCAAACAATATATTTATTTATTTATACAACTATCCATGTTTCCAAACAATATATTCATTTTTATACTCGTGTCTATATTTCCAAACAACACTATAATTAATCTTATGTCCAAACAATATACTCATTTCTTTATACTACTTTTCATGTTTCCAAACAACATAGTTAATCTTATGTCCAAACAATACAAAATATTATATCTCACCCTTTAATAATTTCTCACAATTTTCTTTCAAATAATTAGATAAATTAAAAATTCAAATAATATAGAAAACAACAAAAATAAACATATTTCTACAAGTTTAAATATTACATATCAGTTATCCATCGGCTCAATTCGTTAGTCTCGGGTTTTAATGATTTTTTAAATATTGATATTTTTTAAACAAAAATTGAATTATCGGATCCCCCTTTTAATAGCAGTTCAGGTTGAATTTAAAAATACTGATTTAAATGTAAAAATATTTTAAATACCTAAATTTTTCAGATTACCAAAATTTTTGTTAAGTTATTTATGAAATTTTTTATCATAAAATATTTTGTGCTTGCAAAGTTAAAACAAAAGTTAAGTTTGAATTTAACCTAAACAATAAATTAAAAGTCAAGGTCAAAAATTCTAGAAAGTTGTATATTATTTTAGAAACTTTGGATAATTATTAAGATCAGAAGTAACTAAACTCTCAACCTATTTTTTAACGCAAACCGTTAAGTTTGAATTTGATTTTGCAATTCGAACAACCGTACAGAATTAGTGTTTTCACTGCACGGTTACATCTACATAATACATTGTTTGATGCTTTTAATACAAAAGACAGTTTTGATATTGTTCTTTAAACATAAAATCGAATTGGATAAACTTGAAACTATAGAAAACTAAATTATATAGAATATATTCGAAAATAAAACCCTAAGTATTGAACCCTAAAGTAGAAACGATTCAAGTCAAAGGGGGATATAGTTGGAAGAAAGAATGAGGGTTTTCAAGAAAACGAATTGCTGAGAAAACAGCCATGGATAAACAAGAGAAGGCTACAGAGATCATCTAGAGATGACAGATCAGAATGAAAACATATACCACTTTCCGTATGAAATTCTTACTGGTAAAATAGCTGCGTATGATCAGATGAGAACGTTTGGTTGCTTGTGCTACGGTTCTACATTTCCTAAAAAAATACATAAGTTCCAACCAAAGTCCAAAGCTTGTGTCTTCTTGGGGTATCCGTCTGGTGTGAAAGGCTACAAGTTGTTGGATTTGGAAACTCATCGTATCGCAATCTCCAGGAATGTCATATTTCATGAGGACGTCTTTCCCCTGGTTACTACTCCGATGAATGACGAAGTTCTTCAACTATTCACACCATCTTCTTCGACTTTGTCCTCAGGTAACTCACCACACATATCATCATCACCAGAAATTTCTCCATCTTCTTCTCTTCCACCACAAATTTCTTCTCGAATTCGAAAACAACCTGCACATTTGCAAGATTATCATTGTTAAAACTTGACTTCAAACATCACTTATCCCATTTCCTCTTATCTCTCTTATTCAAAACTCTCTCCAACTTATTCATCTTATATCAACAATATCACTAAAATTCCAATCCCTCAATCATAGTCTAAGGCAAAGGACTCTAAAGAGTGGTGTGAAGCAGTTGATAAGGAATTTGATGCTATGGAAGCAACTAATACGTGGGAAGTTACTACTCTACCATCTGAGAAGAAAACAGTGGGGAGTAAAGTGTTGTATTCATTGAAGTTCAATGCTGATGGTAGTCTGGAAAGACCGAAGGTCCGTGTGGTTGCCAAAGGTTTCATGCAAAAGGAAGGGTTAGACTATACAGAGACATTCTCTCTTGTTGCCAAACTTACTGTGCGGTTCTTGTTAAAAGTAACAGCGTCTAAAAATTGGTTTCTGCATTAACTAGACATTTCCAATGCTTTCTTAAATGGAGAACTGGATGAAGAAATCTATATGAAGATCCCTGATGGATATTGTAAGAGAAAGAGCCTTACATTGTCTAAAAGTGATGTCTTTCGTCTCAAGAAATCTATTTATGGGTTGAAGCAGTCTTCTAAACAATGGTTCCTTAAGTTTTCAGCTGCTCTGCTTCGTTTGGGTTTCACAAGAGGTATAGGAGATCATACTCTTTTTGTGAAGACTTGTTCTAATGGTCACTTCCTTGCGGTATTAGTTTATGTGGACAATATTATAGTGACTGGTTCTAATGAATCTAACTCGAAGCAATTGATTCATGATTTGTATCAGCAGTTCCGGTTAAGAGATCTTGGATCTCTCAAATATTTCTTGCGTATGGAGATAGCTCGCACACGTCAAGGCATCTCCCTTTGCCAAAGAAAGTATGTGTTGGAGCTTCTTACTTCTGCAGGTATGCTTGCTTGCAAACCTACTTCTACTACAATGGTTCAAAACTTGCATTTGGCCTTGGAAGATGGTGAACTTATTGACGCTCCAAAACGGTATCGAAGTCTTGTTGGAAGACTCATGTACTTGACTATTACTCGTCCTGACATTACTTATGCGGTTAATAAGTTATGTCAGTACTCCTCAGCCCCACGAACACCTCACTGGACTGCTGCTCATCGGGTCTTACAGTATATCAAAGGCACCGTGGGTCAAGGATTGTATTACACCGCTTCTCCAGATTTGACTTTGAAGGGTTTTTGTGATGCATACTGGTCTTCTTGTCAGGACAGCAGGCGTTTACAACAGGCATTTCCATGTTTCTTGGTGACTCTCATTTCTTGGCGATCGAATAAGCAGGATACAGTTTCTTGCTCCTGTGCTGAAGCTGAATACCGTGCTCTCTCTAATGCCTCCAAGGAGATGATTTGGCTCATCAAACTCATGCATGACCTGAAGGTACCTCATGACCCTACTCCAATTTTTTTCTCGGATAGTACTGCAGCTATCTATATTGCCACAAACCATGTGTTCAACAAGCGAAGTAAACACATTGAAAATGATTCACTTTTTTCGCGGCTGGCGGGATAGAAAGGTCATCAAAACTCTTCATGTTGGTACGGCTGATCAAGTAGCCGACATTATGACTAAACCTCTGTTTTTTTATCAGTTCAAGCACCTTATGTCCAAGATGAGCCTTATTAATATCTTTGGAAGCTCATCTTGAGGGGATCTATTGGTTTATGATATCCGGTTTACTGGTTTAGTCAATTAGTCAGGTTATTTAGTCCGGTTATTTACACTTATATAGCTGACTATAAATACATGTAATTGTACATTTTAATCAATAAGAGAAATATTGATATTATCTTCTTCCTCTCTCCCAAGCTTGCTTTTACGTACTAAGCTCATCTTCCTGGTGATGATCAATATATAATGAGCTTTGATGTCAAATCTGAAAGTTTCACTCCGATTAAATATCCGGAGGGTCTTTCTCATTTGGAGTTTGATATGATACCTTATGACGGAAGGCTAGCCTTGGTTACTTATAGCTCTGACTTAGGTAAAGTTGATCTCTACATTTTAAAGGATGCAGATGACACCGATGGAAGCATCAAAGCGATCTTTACATAAGTTGTAAGAGAGAATGGAAGAATCGTATATATTTCAGTGGTATTAGTGATGATGGTGAACTTATTTTTGCACCATTTACATTGTCAAAGCCGTTTTGTATTCTATATTTTGATCCGAAGAGAAATAGTACTAGAGAAGCCTCGTTTCAAGGAGTTGATGGTGAGACTAGACTAGAAATAGTACACTATGAATTTTTTCACAAATCACATAGAGAGTCTTGTGTCTTTGTGAAGCAGCGAATTCACTCAGCTCAATACTCTTTATATATTTCCTTTGGTCTTGTGTCTTTAAAATGCTATTTTCCCTAATAATTTGTTTAGTTTTTAAATACTTTTAGTTTATTTTATAAAAAAAATTACACTTGCATATACAACTATTGGTTTAATCATAAATAATAAAAGCGTAAGCGACCTTCACGCAACACCGGAGATACTAACTGGAAGCGGAGGAAGTTCTGTCTCCTGCAACTGATTCTTATCGATAATTCTCTTGCCAGATTCAAACTCGCCGTAGAAGTAAGAGACAAATCCCCACACAGAGAGAAGGAGAGCAACACCTTTCTCCGCCTGAAACTTCTCTCGGAAAAACACGACGGCCAAAACTTCCGTCACCGGAAGAAGTGCACTGATGAGAACACCAGAAGCTAGAGAAGACGCACAGAACACAACCCCTATGGCTCCTAAGAACAACCCTTGATATACTATCCCTGTCATCACAACCAACTGTTGGTTATTTGGGTTGTAACCCAGAAATTTGTGAATTATATACTTGGATAATGATTGAATCGCGCACGAGGTCACTTTCCTTAAAGAGTATTTCGACCCTATTCCAAACCTTTGGGTTACACGAAATCCCTTTGTAGGATAAGACAATCAAAGTCTCACTCTTGTTCTAGGTTAAGATACAAGAGAAACAAAAAGAA